CGTGGTAAGGTGAATTTTTAACGTTTGGAAGGCCTGCTCTTGTTTCCAGCTCTATATATATGGAGTATTTTTTTCTAAGAGCTTGTATAAAGGTTTTGCTATTGAAGCAAAACCTTGTATAAACCATTAGTAATAAGAGGCAAGGCCAATGAAACCTCTTAATTGTCTCAGATTAGTTGGTGTAGAGAAATTTTGGACCTTTGCTACTTTGGTTTTGTCAGGTTGGATACCTTCTTTTCCTACTATATGGCCTAAGAAGGTAATATTATTTTTAAGCATTTTACACTTTTTAGGGTTTAGCTTTAACCCTGCTGCTTCTAGCTTTGCAAGGACCCTTGTGATGTGCATTAAGTATTTCTGGTAAGTTTTTGAATAGATAATTATATTATTTAAGTAAACGGCCACAAAGTGGCCAAGGTATTCATAGAGAATACTATTCTTGACCTGTTGAAATGTTGCTGGGGTGTTGCATAGCCCAAAGGGCATAACCTTAAAGGCATAAGTACCCTGCTTAGTTATAAAAGAAGACTTTTCTTGGTCTTCCAGCTTCATTCTAATTTGCCAGTATCCATTGGCTCAATCCAGAGATGAAAACTATTCGGCCTTTCCAAAAGTTTCTAGAAGGTCATCAATTTGAGATAGGGGGAATATGTCTTTCTTTGTAACTGCATTTAGCTTTCTATAATCAATGCATAATCATAACTTGCCATTTTTCTTTGGCACAATTACTACCAGGGAAGCCCATGGGCTTTTAACTTCGTAGATAAGCTCATTCTTTAGTAGCTTTTCAATTTCTTTATTCAAGAAGGTTTGGGCATCAGGTGCAATTTGATAGGCAGATTGCTTAATAGGCTTGGCATTGCTAGTATCTATTTTGTGTGTTATATGTCTTGGTACTGGTCTAGTTGGTACAAGCTGATTGCCAGAAGGTTTTAGAACCTTCTTAGAATTTGTATAGCAGCTTCTTTTTGTTTTTCAGTTAGTTTTTTAGCTTGTACTAACTTACTGATAACTTTCTCAGGTAATAGTTCAGGTTAGACACTTTCATCCAGGGTTGGAAGTTCTTCAACGGCCATTAAGTATATTGCAGGGTTATCCATAATTAATAAATCATAGGTAAGCTTATTATCCATATAGTAACTTTCTACTTCTTCTATATTTCTTCTTCTTCATATTTGTTGAAGAAGTCTTCTTCTCCTTCTACA